GTTCGGCGATCTCTACTTTGGTGAGATGCATTGAAGTTAACACCTGGGACCAGGCGACATCAGCCGGGAACGCTGCTAGTGTCACTCGAAGTGGAGTTTTGCCAGCCAGCTCCCAAACTTCACGTACCACCCTGCAATCAAAAAGACAATGGGAGATAGATTCCGAAGCTTCCGAACAGACTGGGCATACATTGGTATCACTAAGGGTTTTAGCTTGAAGAATATCCAGGCACGGGAGGAAAACACGCACAGCCCGCCATAGGAAAACTCGGAACTTCGGCGGCACCGGCAGACTCCAGAGCCGAGCATCCAGGTGAGGCGGCAGTGCATTGAACATCTCAGCACGATCATCAGATAGCAGGTGGTACCCTGACTTCACAGTATACAACCCAGTCTCCGAGTAGTGCCAAATCAGGCGATCAGGCTTAGGTGACATCGGGATAGGGATGGAGAGAATCCATTTGATGCTGTCCGGGGTGAAGAATATATGGAGAAGCTCCCGGTTCCACGAGCAGGACAAGGGGTTAATGAGCGAAGCCACAAAAGGATTAGGCAGAGTAATACCTGGAAGTAGTGAGGGGGAAGATGGTGGAGAAGTTGGTAACCAGAGATCATCAAGAATCCGGATGGCTGCGCCACAACCTACCTGCCACCTTAGGCCTTTGAGGAGCAACTTACGACCTTCGAGAACTCCTTGCCAAGCCTAGGAAGGTTGATTGCCAATTGGAGCGCGCAGAAAATCACAAGTAGAATGGTATCAGGCCTTGTAAAGTTTAGTAAGAGTGGAAGATGGTGAAGACAGCAGTTTCCAAGCTTGCTTAGCCAACATTGCTATATTGAATAAATCGAAGTCCCGGAAGCCAAGTCCCCCACGAAAGTTACTAACACAAATGGCCCCGGCCAAGAAATCCAGTGGATCCCCTTATCTTTGTCTTGGCTTGCCCACCAAAAGCGTGACAATTGTCCATTCATACGTCGACAGGTGGTAGATGGAAGGCGGAACGAGAGCATCGCGTACACAGGCGTTGCCGAGCCGACAGCCTTGATCACAACTTCTTTCCCGGCCAGCGAGAGAGACTTTGTCTTCCAGCCTTGAATCCGCTTGCTTAGACCATCCTCTAGGAACCGAAAAGTCTGAACCTTTGATCGATGTATCTGAGCTGGCAAGCCAAGGTATCTATCAAGTTCTCCAATGGAAGCGATCCCCAAAGAAGCAGCCAAGTCAGAGGCTTCCTGGGATGTGACATGTGCACTGAAGCAAACTTTGGACTTCTGGAGATTGATTTTCTGGCCACTGGCCGCCTCATATAGGCTAAGAAGCTGCAACAGTTGCGTGCAATCCACAGTAGAAGCTCGCAAAAACATATAAGTGTCATCAGCAAACAGTAAGTGCGAGGTTAGTGGCGCAAAACGATGAATTTTCAGACCATGCAACTGATGTGAGGCAAGTGCATTTGATATCATAGTACAAAATGCTTCTGTGTAAATGGCAAAGAGGAGGGGTGAGAGCGGATCACCTTGTCGGATGCCCCTTTCAGGCCGGAAATAACCGTGAGTGTGCCCATTCAACAGGATGGAGAACGTGACAGTCGTGACACATGCCTTGATTAGTTTGATCCAGCCAGGGTCGAACCCTAGAGCCTCCATGACACCAAATAGGAAACCCCACTCAACTCGGTCATACGCTTTCTCCATGTCTAGTTTGAGAGCCATCCACTTCTCTCTACCTTGAGTCTTCGTTTTGAGAAAATGCATAACTTCCTAGGCGATGAGGATGTTATCCGAGATGTCCCTACCTTTGACAAGCCCATTTTGAGCCTCGCTTACTAAATAGGGGAGTACCTGGCTCAATCGAGAAGACAAAACCTTAGAAACTATTTTGTAAAAGACATGACACAGCCCTATTGGTCGCATCTGCTTCATCGAATCTGCATTGGGAATCTTGGGGATCAAGGTTAGCAGTGTATGATTAAAATTGTGGAGTAAACGACCCGATCTAAAAAACGAGCTAGCAGCCACACAAACAGAATTACCAACAACTTCCCAATAGGATTGGTAGAATGCCGCTGTGAGCCCATCTGATCCTGGGGCTTGTGAAGGGCCAATCTCAAAAGCTGCTCTCTTGATCTCCTCATGTGTCACCTGGGCTGAAAGGTAAGTATTCTGGCTGCTAGTAACTTTGCGAGCAATTCCTAAGGCATCCACAAGGAAATGAAACTGGTTTCCGTTTGAAGAAAATAGGAATTGGAAATATGACACAGCCACTTCACCTTTTGGTTGTTCCTCAACATGTACCAGTCCATCATCATCCCTTAGATATTCAATTTGGTTCTGTCGCCTTCTTTAGTTTGTAGTGATGTGGAAGAATTTCGAGTTAGAGTCTCCCACCTGCAGCCATCCATTTCTGGATTTTTGTTTCCAAAAGATCTCTTCCTGTCGATATGCAACTGCCAGTTGATTCTCAAGTCCTTCAATGACGCTCCAATCGACAACCAAACGATCCAGCTCTGTCTCAATGGCAAGTCTGTGCTCACGAATCAGGCGAGCCGAGTTTGTGGTGCCTTGTTTCGCCCATTCTACCAGCTGATGTCTTGCAGCCTATTGAGCTGAGAACAGCTGAAACTGAGGTGTCCCGGATGTGATAGTCTGCCACGAGGTAGTGATAATGTTTCGTGCCTCCTCATTCGATGTCCATCGCCTATCAAAGTGAAACCTGCCTTTCCCTTTACCTGCCCCAGGGGTTAGCTGAAGGAGGAGCATCCTGTGATCAGAACCAAGATCGGTTAAATGAAAAACCTGCACATTAGGCCAATCATGAATGAACAATTCAGAGCCTAAACCCCTGTCTAATCGCTCAAGGATATGGGAGGCGAGCCCTTGGCGGTTGGACCACGTGAAAGGGGAACCTCTAAATACCAAATCCAGCAGCCCTAAATCCTCTAGGAAGGATTGAAATTGCTTGATCATCGAGAATGATGGAGGCCTGCCACCCTGCTTCTCAGAGGCAAAAAGCACACAGTAAAAGTCACCCAACACAATCACCGGTGAGGCACAACATGAAATCAAACGGAGAAGTTCATTAAATTGAAGAGCTCGAATATTTACAATGGAACTAAGATGGACAAAGAAGAGAGCAATGTTCCCCCAAACTAGATGCTGCAATTCTACATAATTATAAAAAGCATCCCTGCCTAGCACACTACACTGGACAGAGTGAGTACAGGCTATGGCTAATCCTCCTGATAACCCTACTGGAAGCACACAACAAACCACTAGATAGCCTAATCTACTTAGCTTCTTATTTACATCATCATCATCACGCTTAGTCTCACTTAAACAAAGGATCGATGGCGAGAACCGACACACCACTCCAAAGAGTGAAGGAATCGTCAGGGCAGAGCTTAATCCCCGACAATTCCAAGCCAATATGCTCATATATCCCTTTGGGACCAGTCAGGGCTGGTTGCCTCCACCACTTTCTCACCAGACTTCACGACCGCGGGAATCATCGCCACCAATCGCTACTTCTTACACTCGGGCCGCTCTTGCAATGGATCAGTGTCATAAGGTCGAGCCCGAACCTGGATTGCCAAGGTAGACCCAACCTCGATTGTCTCTGGGGATACAGAATTTGGGTCTGAGTTCCTTTCCGGAGCCGGGAGCAGATGCAAAGGGTCCTGTCGAGGCTGCAATGAGGAAGGATTCTGCCCTGAGCGCACCCACGTGAAACTCCGTCGACCTAGCAAGTTCTTCTCGTTGACCTTGGGGCCAAATTTCTTCGAAATCAACTGGCGACTGTACAAGGAAGGTTTGCCAGCGAGTTCCTCCCTTCTTGGACACTGCTGTCCAATATGACCAAGCACTCCACATAGATAGCAAAACTGAGAAAGTTTCTCGAATTTGACAGCAACAGTAAATTCCCCCTTACCTGCTTTTTCATGGGTCGCCGGAACTGAGACCTGAAGCGGGAGGCGAGAATCCAACCAGACCCGCGCCCTGAGGTAGATCTCCGCAGTATCCTTCGATAGGTGTACCACTCCCGGATCAGTCTTCCCAAGGTAGGCACCAAGGAGGGTGCCCATTTTCTTCGAGCAGCAAGGAACAGGAACCTCCCAAAACTGCAAAAAATGTGGAACCCTCCACATCTGCTCAGCCACTTTAGTAGAAACCGCCACCCAGGGGGCCAAGTTCACCAGGAACTTGGGCAGGATCCAGGGCACCATTCGCAAGACTCGGCTCAAATCAGTGTCGTTGGGGAAGACGAACTGCAGCAGACCTTCCTCCGCCGGGAGAATGGAGATGGGGCCGGAGCAGTTCCACAATCCTCCAAGAGTGGTGAGTAACTGGCGAATCGGCGGCGAAGGGCCAATAACTCTGCCCAATAGGGAAAGCTCATTGCGTTCCACCCCGGGGGCAACATCGCCATCTCCGAAGACGACCATCCTGGATTCAGCCATCATGCGAACACCGGAATTGAATTTCAACCTGGAAGGAGAAAGCCCGAGGAGACAGGGAAGAGATCTGGGAATCGCTGCACAGAGAGAGGAAGTTCTTAGGGGTTGCTTAAATAGCCCCATGAATCCGCAATTCAATCCTGTCGGCGCACCATGCCGGGGGATCGCACTCGGCGATGCGCACGACGGCGCTAACCTCGCTCCCACTATCCACGAGCGAAGGGAGAGGGGAGAGGTTTTTTTTTTTTTTTCGTAACTCTTCCTCGATTAGGACCCCCTTCTCCTCTGCTCTGTTTGTATTTTATAAGGAGAAATTATTTTCTTTTTAGGTTACGGGCTTACTGCACAAATAAAATAAATCTCCTCCGTCGGCCACTCCTCTCTCTCTCTCACGCTGCTCCGCCGCCGCCGCCGCCCTTCTCTACCTAAAATTTAGCACTACCACCATCGTCCATTTGCCCCCCTAAACCACCACCGCAATCCCAAATACAGCAGCAATTTCCATCAATTTTCTTCCTCAGCGAGACGACCCTCTCGCTCGGGGAAATGGAGGCTGAACTAAAAGAAATGCTTAACGATCTTGAAAGCCTCAAGAGTTTGCTACCCGATCCTTCCCATCTATCTTCGATTAATAAGGTAACCACCATTTTCCGCTGTGTTTCCTGTGATTCTCAATTTTAATTCTTAATAGATCCAGTTGCAGTTCCGTGTATCATTTGATTCCCTATTGTTTGGCTGCCCGGAAAGTAGTCTGAACTTGCGATTCTGCTGTATATATGGAGATTCATTATGTTGAATTTTAGAGGCACACAGTTAGCATCATGCATTATGAAATATGTGCAACTTGAGCAAAAATGATTGTGTACCCAGCTACATTTCTTCTCTACACTTCGTTCCATAATTGGAATTCCAACATGCTCTCTATATTCTTTCAGCTGCAGTCACGTGTGGAGCATATTACGAACATGGCATATTCTACGCCAATGAGGAGATCAAAAGTCAAGGTATTCTTTGCATCCTTTCAAGTCTCTTGGTGGCCTTTACGTTATTGAATGAATTTATCTATCCTTGTGAAGCTATGTGCTGGTGCTTCCGATGTTATATGACTGCTTGCTGTGCTCACAGGACATGAGTGCCGAGGTGGTGGACAGCAATCCCTATAGTAGGCTCATGGCACTTCAGAGAATGGGCATTGTCAACAATTACGAGAGAATAAGAGAGTTCTCAGTTGCCATCGTTGTCTGTATTTTCCCCTTCCTACTTTGTTTTGATTTTGATGTTTTAGGCATCATGATGGTTTACTCATTTCAATGTGTCACTTGGGTTTACCCATAGAATTAATGAGTTTTGCTGTGCTATATCCGTGTTTACAAAACTCAATTGATAGTAATCACGTTTTTTTTTTTTATATATAATTGCTCTTTCACTGAGTAAGTTTTCTTGATGCCTGATAAGTTGATTGATCCGCTCAAAATCATTTGATGGGTCTTGGTGATTCCTGATCTCTGGCCCTTTTTTTTGGGTTACTGTGTGCAGGGAATTGGTGGTGTTGGCAGTGTTGCCGCTGAGATGCTAACAAGGTGTGGCATTGGTCGTCTTTTGTTGTACGATTATGACAAAGTGGAGTTAGCTAACATGAATAGGCTTTTTTTCCGTCCAGAGCAGGTCTTTATTTTTGTTTGTTCTTCTTAGACTTATAAAGATGAATGCATCTTATCTAAGTTCAAAAACGCAAGATTTGTTATTCTACCAACATTGTTTTCTTCTTTGTACCAAGATTGATTTTTCTTGTTGGGTGTTAATAGGTTGGGATGACAAAAACTGATGCTGCTGTTCAGACCCTTTCAGACATAAATCCTGATGTTGTGCTAGAGGTATGTGTTGCACATGAATTGGTGTCTCTGGCCTTGTTGATGTGATAGGTTGTTGCGAAGATCTACTTGATTCCTCATGCCAATGGTCCCACAAATATTCAAGTGCATGACGTAGCCATATGCCAGTCATGACTAATATGCATAGTGCACTACCTCTGAATTTGACTCGTTAGCTTTTTGGCTATAACAACTAGTATATCATTTTTGGGTTTTCGAAAAGAAAAACTCAGTCACTCTCTCTATCTTGTGAACTGTTTTAACATTGCTTATTTATTTGTTGCCCCTATTTCCTTTTTTCCTCAGAGTTATACTTTCAACATCACAACAGTCCAAGGATTCGACACCTTCATGACCAGTTTAAGAACCAAAGCTTTCGGCCCAAGTAAGGAAGGCAATGGGGTAGACCTTGTTTTGAGCTGTGTGGATAACTATGAAGCCCGGATGGCTGTTAATCAGGTAATGACCTGTTCCACAATCGCAAGTGGTAATGGTTGGTTTTAGTATGACTCAAACAGCCCTGTTCTGGAGGTCCATGAAACTGATGATTTACAGTCTACTTCAGGACTTCAAAATGTTATTTATGCAGTGAACTCATGAAATTGTTGCTGATGTGCAGGCCTGTAATGAGCTGAATCAAGTATGGATGGAGTCTGGTACGCAATGTTTTTTATTTTTTTATTTTACTTTCTTTGTACAAAGCAGTTTTCTGAAATCTCGCGCCGACTTCCCTCAATGTGTACAATCATGATATATTTAAAGATGGTTATGTCCATGCCTTACAAAAACTTGATTGTAATAGGTTTAAAGATGGTGTTGATCCTTGACCATACCAGAAACAGAGTGTATTTTGGACAGTTGACCAATCCATGGCACTGAGCGGGTCTTAGTTTAGTTCATATTTTATATTTATCTAGACACTGCTGTGCCGACTTATGCTTGGTTCAGTTTAGCTAGGTAGTAAGATGTCTTGATGCTTTCTGTTACTTGTATCTCAACTCTAAACACAAGGACCCAGTCTTTGATTAACGAGTTTGCTCTTCTGTTTAGTTTCCAATGTGAAACTTTTTGTATGTTGCCATTCTCTTAACGGACTAAAAGAAGAGGTTTTATGGTAGGTGTATCTGAGGATGCTGTTTCTGGCCACATACAATTGCTTATTCCTGGAGAAACTGCTTGTTTTGCTTGTGCACCTCCCTTGGTATGTTCAGTTATCCGGCTCTGGTGGCCTAGTTTATGTTTACTATATATCGTGATTTGCTTTGGGCTGGTAAATAGAACAGTTTGAACCTCCAAGAAGGTTCATGACCAAGGGCAAAGATGTCTGAGTAATTGTTTATATTGTGTACTGCTGGACCACAATGTGCTATAAAGAACTAACTAGCAAAGATTAGGACCATACGTTTAATTTCATTTACCATGAGCTGATATTCATTATGATCTCAGATGATTCAAACATGACAGAAGCTTGTGTATCTCATGATTTGTGATTCTTAGTTTTCCAGTGCAGAAATTATGCCTCTCTCTCTCTCTCTCTCTCTCCCTTCCCTCCTGTCCCCTTACTCTCTTTCAAAATGACACTGATTTTTTCCCTCAGGTTGTCGCATCTGGAGTGGATGAACGCACTCTCAAACGTGAAGGGGTCTGTGCAGCCTCTTTACCAACCACCATGGTAAGTTCTTAAAAATAATAACTATAATTTATCATCTTTCTGATAGGGCATTGCAGTTATAGACCAGGCTGTTTGCGTAGAATGTGAGCTTCTGTTTAATTCTTTGGTACAACAACTTGTATGTTGTTAAATGTTCTATCACTTTAATTCATTGCAGGGAGTTGTTGCTGGGCTCTTAGTACAGAATACACTCAAGCTTCTTTTGCAATTCGGGAATGTCTCCCCTTACCTGGTAAGCTGTGGCTTTAGCAGTTGCATCTTTGTTATCTTTGTGATGTTTTAATACAATGTATTACATATTTTGTTGAGTTTGCTATGTTATGGGATGTGCATGCAGAATACCCTTTCTGTTCTTGATGAGCTGTTGCCATTATTTTTATCGCAGGGATACAACTCTTTGAAAGACTATTTCCCAACCATGGAAATGAAGCCAAACCCTCATTGTTCAAATGGAGCTTGTCTGGAGCGTCAGGTATAAAATTATCCCCTTCCCTTAGCTCTAGTTAGTTTTCTCTCTCCGTAAAGAAGAGTCACTGGGTCTTAATTACCGTGCAGAAAGAATTCCTCCTTTCAAAACCTGCAAGGGATGCTGCTGCTGCTAGAGCCAGGATGGAGGCTGAGGCAGCATTAGTTGCAGAAGGCCCTCTTCATGATGACAATGAGTGGAATATAAGGTAGTTTTAATACACAGTATGTACATAAGGCCCCCAGTCTGAAAAAGTTATTTGATTGATCAATTTTTGGTTTTGTTTTAATGTTTTGGTCAGCATTGTTGATGACAGCGATGTTGAAGCTAGTGGTGCTGCAATCTCGGGTGAGTTGCTGTTTTTACGATTATTAACTTTGCATCGTTAACCTACCTTGATTTATCCACAGCTATACCTCATAGTGTTAGTGTATCATTTACCGATACCATACACTGAAATTCCTTCTACAATTTTGTTTATAATACAGATGCTCTCCCTGAAGGACTTACTCGCGAGCTTCCAAGTGCAGACCAGTTTCAGAAACCCCAAGCTGCTGAGCCATCTGTTACCATTGTCGATGACCTTGAAGAACTTAAAAAGCAACTCGAAGCCCTCAATGCAGACTGATTTACTGAACTTGTGATGTCACTAAAAATCCCAACTGATTTAGCTTATCTGGAATTGAATTTTGTAGCCAATTGCCGTTCATTTTACCAAAGACGACTTGAGTTCAGAAATATCAGATGTTGAGGATTTGTTGTTTCAATGACAGTGGATAACTTCGAGCAAACAGTTTGGACGATATCTGAGAGTTGTTTTTCTCCGCACTTCTCCGCACACAACTTCCATAATTAGATTTCTCATTTTTTCAGGTTTGCTAATTACCATTGTTGTCTTGATTCGGCCTAACCAAGAGTCCAAGACGCAAGTAATTGTGTAAATGAATCATACAGCTGATTGAACGAGTGTACAACAAACAGTAGAGCCAACCTTAATGGTTCGTCAACTAAGATGTGAGTAGTTCACTCAAAATGGGTTTAGGTTTATCTAGGGTCTTCAAACTTGATCAATATTTGGTCCATTTGCGGTTGGAGTTTCCTTACCTGCAACCAGATGCAGAAGACACCCTTATTGAGCAAGACCGACCAACCAGTGTGCAGTCAAATTACAGAAATTCCAAGGTTAGGATATAGCGTTTGCTTACTTTGACATTAGCCATTGCCAACAGTTTGCGCGAGGCAGTGTATGCAACATCTGTATTACTCGAGTTCTTCTCCACGAAATATATGACCTCGGACACACCAGACTGAAACCAAATACAGAACAATTTGTTCAGTCTCCCTGATGGTTCATGAATGAGCAATGCATTTCAGAAGACAAAGATGCAAATTGATCACCTGAATAATTATCTTAGCGCATTCGTTGCATGGAAACATAGTCACATAAAGCCGCTGCAAATATGTAAGAGAGGGACTGCATTACAGAGCAATCGGTTGCGAAAGCATTTTCAACACCTTGGGAACAAAAGCAGATAGAAACTAAGTCTGTAGATTTGGAAATTAGAGATCACTCACTTGCCCTGCTGCAGAAGCATGGTTTGTGTTCAGAATAGCATTGACTTCAGCATGACAAACATAACTATCACCAGCCAAAGAAAGAAATGAGCGAGAATCGGTCTGGAAGTCTAGATAATATAAGCAGATGGACAAGTGGAATGTAGTAATGTACAGACGAGGAATACTAGCACTAGCAAGATTCTACTATCAAAATCTGTGCATCGGTTAATTCAACTATTCACTATCTAGCCATTGACAAACTCGTTCAGAAGTCGTGTAATGTGTGCCAAGCAGCAGCAAGCACAGTTAAGATTAAGTAATGAATTTGACGAAGGAATTACTTACGGGTACTTTGTCTCCAAAGGGTCACCGTTCTTTGATTTCTGAAACAGTGTCAAGACAGGTTTTAGTAAGAAGGGATTCGACATGAAACTTACATCCACATACTAACTAACCTTCGCCCATGGGAGTTTGTCATCTGAACAGCCTCTGGGAAATCCATTGTAACCAATGCCTAGCCAACGGAAATTGGAAAGGAGAGCCAGATACACAAGCATTCATAATCTACTTCAGTCCCAAATTCTTAAAAGTACTAGAAAACACATTTGCCTCAATGTAGTCATGTAATGTTTGCACCCTCATCTCGCAGACATGGAAGGGCAAAGCATATGGCATTCTCAAACGAAATGGACAATCCCTGACACTCTCAATTTACTAGGAGGTACTAGGCAACGCATTGTCTCAATTGTAGTAATCGACTGACTGACTGAATTTAAGATGAAATCAATCACTGATCCCAATTTGAGTGTGCATACAAAACTGAAGAGCAAGGGCAGCAATCGACTGACTGAATTCAGAAGTTCATCTTGGACAATTATCGAATCCGATCACATAGCTAAAGAAGGATCTCAGATTTCTGGAATGGTCAATCTGCTGGAGCCTAGAGGTATATCTTATGTTCAGATAGTTAATTCTGAGTTAAGCACAAACCCTAGCAAACAGCTGAAGCGGGCAGTAGAATGTAACAGGTATAGTATCTCTTAGTGTTCATCCAGTCCAGACACGTTGACAAGAAATTGAACAGATAATTCACAGCCAGAAATTTCCCCCTTACCAAGAATGACGCCATTTGGACTAACCAGGCACGCACCGACCTGAAAGAAAGAGAACCGCCAATCACTTTTAACCAGATTGGAAACCCACGTTAGCAGTTGAGAAATCAATCAAAAGTTGGGGAGCATGACCTGCCTGTTGGGATCTTTGGACCGCTCGGCAGATAGGAAAGCAATTGCCATGAAATAATCGTCCCATGACAGATACCTAACGAGCAGCAAATCTGGAGCACTTACAGTTTGAATAAAAAGATGTTATGTTTAGCACACAGTTCAGCAATCGAAACTTGAACGAACCACTTTCGCTTGGAAGGATCGAAGGGACTCTGAGAAGAACGTTTCTGTGCAGCAGCTTCGCCGTTGGCCGACGATGAACAGATCTGGGAGAGTTTGGGTTTGGAGCTGAAGAAGAAGCGAAGCGCCAAGGCGGATGACAGAGCGCCGAAAATAGTAGCGGTGGAGACGAGAAGGACGTCGCGGGAATTCATTGGAGGAGTATAAGATAGAGATCGGAGAGTAAGCAGCAGAGATTGAGGGGCTTTTGGAGGAAGATTAAGTTTGGAAGCTCAGCTCTTAGTTGCTCCGAGGGGGAGGTAACTTGCGCAAAGAAGCGGGAAAGCCAAGAGCTATTCTCGTTACCCGCGTAAATATTAGCGGGAAATGAAATGGCAATTACTCCAATTAGGCAGGCGTTTTTTTTTTCTTTTTCTTACAGAAATATGCGAATGCTTTATTAATCAGATGAAGCGGTTACACCATCCAGCTGAAGCTGATTAACTAGAATTATCGGAGGCCTATCCAACCACACTAATCTTTCATCCCATCTCGACTCAACATGAGCCATAATATGAGCTGCCTCGTTGGCTTCCCTACAAATGTGATGCCAACCGCCATTTCCCGTAGCTCTCAGCAGTCTCCTTATACTTCGACAGATAACTCCACTCTCATCTTGAATCACATCCGGATTCTGAAACTTATAAGTCAGCACTTGACAGTCAATCTCAAGAATCACATTCCAAAAGTTGCATTGTACTGCCAGTTGCAGGCCGAATTCTGCTGTCATTGCTTCAGCAGCCTCAACTTCCCACTTTCCTAGAACTTTCTTCACTGCCGCGAAGAGGAAGGTACCTGCTGAGTCTCGACACACCACGCCCAACCCTGCCCCTTCGTTTCCCGTAACTCCTGCGTCCACACAGACCGATATGCTTCCGGGACTCGGTTTTTTCCAACCCGTCCTCTCCCTTGCCACGCTTGGCTCCTCTTGGATCACCTGGTGAGCTTTGTAGTCTGCCAGCAGATGTTGCGCCCTCACTACTATCTCCTATTCAGGTAGTTTTGCTCCGTTAAACAGGTGAGCATTTCTTTCCTTCCAGAGATACCAAAGCAGGACACGCCAACCATCAAACTTAACATCGTCACCTCTATCCATAGCTTATCGCACCCAATCAAAAAATGAATCCTCTCCCTTCAATTCAAAATAGTCCACAAACTCTGATCGCCTCCAGATTCTTGACCCCAATTGATACTCGATAAAAGTGTGCTGCTGAGTTTCACAGAGATCACAGAATGAGCACCGATCGCTTGGTATAGGATTTTTCTTCTGAACCTGCACTCTTGTCGGTAAATCCCTCTCATGAATCTCCACATGAACTGGCAAACTTTAGGTGGTATATCCAACTTCCATAGCTTCTTCCACACCCTCGCTTCACTCTGCACTTCAACTCCGTTCCGCACCAGAAATTCTGAGAGCCACAACTTATAGTCTTCCTTAACTGAATACGTGGACAATCTGAAATTGATGTAAATGCTCCGGTGAAAGTTGATGTCCCTGTTGGACAATCTGAAATTGCAAATGAATCTAAACCACGAATGAAGCGTGGTAGACCAGTAGGTTCCAAGGATAATAATCCTCGAAAAATAAAAGGAGCTATGAATCAAATTGGTCAAATCGAGGATATGAAAGCTCAAGAAGAGTCCCCAAGCATAACTAAGATTGTAGTTCCCGAAGAACATCAGGTACCTGAAAGTTTTGATAATGAAGAGATCTCAATCAATTATGTCTTGGATGGAAAATGTTGGAACCGAAGTGAAATAATCGTTGACGATGTTTTTGCTTACGCTGTAGCGTTGAGTGTGATGAATGAAAATGAGGATCATGAACCAAGATCTATTGATGAATGCAAGTCAAGAGATGATTGGCCAAAGTGGAAAGAGGCCATTGAGGCGGAATTAAACTCGCTTTCAAAGCGAAAGGTTTTTGGAAACGGTAGTCCTTACACCAGAAAACGTAAATCAGTGGGATACAAATGGGTTTTTGTGCGGAAAAGAATTGAAAAGGGTGAAATTGTGAGATATAAAGCACGTCTTGTCGCACAAGGATTCTCAAAAATACCTGACATTGATTATGAGGAGACATACTCCCGTGTGGTGGATGCAACTACGTTTCGATACTTGATTAGTCTAGGAGTTCGAGAAGGACTAGATCTGCGTCTAATGGATGTTGTGACAGCCTATTTGTATGGATCACTTGAGAATGATATATATATATGGTAACGACTCGTATGCTCCAGGCGCATAGCATGCTCCAGGTCCTCAGATCGTTGATCTAATCTAACGGCTAGTATTAATTATTTTAAAATTATATATTTAATAAAGATTATGATTACAAATTACACCCCTTAAATAATTATATGTGCTATGAAGTCCCCGAACAATAATTACCATCATGTTTTCTCGTCTGATACCTTATTTTATAGAGTTCTATTATTCAACAGCAAATTTTATACAATTGATAAAAAAGATTCTCCATTAAAATTTGGCTGGAATTGTTAATGAATCAAAAATTCATTGTCATCATCCACTCAAATGTTATCGTCATCATCAAAGCAGACCATCCCTAATTCCCTCTTCTTCTTCTTCTTCCTTCTTCGTCCCGACTGTCCCTCCACCTTCATATTGATTCCGCCCAGATCATCCTCTCCTCGCTCTATCAATCCCATCTCGACCCTTCAAACTCCATCTCTCCCACTCCCTATCTTTTATCCCCTTCGTAGCCCAGACTTTCGATTGGGCGCAGCAGGACGAGCAGAACACTACATCCACCATTGCTGACTCGGAACTGGAAGAAGAAGGTGTGGATTCGGCAGGCGAGGAGGGCCCGGTGGCTTCCTACGCCGCCGCCGAAGATGGGGATGATGCAATTGAGGCGCAGGAGCCGTCGGAGGACGCCAAAGTGTTCGTCGATAACTTGCCGTACGATGTGGATAGTGAGAAATTGGCTATGCTCTTCGAGCAAGCTGGAACTGTAGAGATTGCTGAGGTTTGTTTCGATGGATTACTTCACCTTTTTTACTGGGATTTAACTTCTAATTTGCATCTTTGTGAAATCTTCTTTTGTCTTTTGTTTGTTGGCAGGTCATTTACAACAGGGAGACTGATAGCAGCCGTGGTTTCGGATTTGTGACCATGAGTACTGTTGAAGAAGCTGAGAAGGCTGTCGATAAGTTCAACAGCTATGTAAGTTCACCGTTTCTTTGCCATCTGTTTTTGACGATTGATTGCTGGTATGGGGCTGAGGATAGTAGTGTGAGAATGAAAACTGTGCAAGGGTATTTAACTGATAGCTAAACAGTTTGGGCCTCTGTCAGTTGCTTTGAAAGTTTGAGTCTTTACTGCTGAAATTCGACGAATGTAAGCTTTGAGATTGATAATCTTGTTGGGTTGGCTGGAATTAGCGAACTTATTTGCAATTGAGCATTTTTGCTTTGAATTGTTAATTTTTCTCTCAACTGGTACAACTCTTGTATCCTTCCAGCTAGAGAGGTTCGGTTCATTGAAAGTGTGTTCTTAAACAGTTGCTTGAAGTAATAAGTACTTTCACTTTCTGGTCTATAATACTATGCTGCATTTCAGTGAAAGGTGTTATTGTGTGGAATGTTCCACTCAGCCATCATTGACTTGTCTGTATGTTAGTAGGATATTCATGAACTTTTGAACTAATGGCATTCCACTCTGAGCAAACTTGGTTTGATATACCTTCAACTGAGTTCAACTTGGTGATGTACACAGGACATGGGAGGGAGGTTCTTGACAGTTAACAAAGCTGCTCCCAGAGGATCAAGGCCGGAGCGGGCTCCCCGTGTGTTAGAACCTGGTTGCAGAGTCTACGTTGGGAACCTACCATGGAGTGTCGATGATTCTCGCCTCGAGCAAGTCTTCAGCGAGCACGGCAAGGTCACAAATGCTCGAGTAGTGTATGACAGGGACAGCGGCCGCTCACATGGGTTCGGGTTTGTGACAATGGCTGATGAGACGGAGATGAACGATGCCATTGCCGCTCTTGATGGACATGTATATGCATCTTTGCATTTATGTGATATCTTTTGCTGGTACTTTGTAGACTGTAGTGATAAAGAGTGAGGTTCTTACTACTGTTTCTCTTCCTTTATGCAGTCTCTTGATGGGAAATGGTTTCCTGAAAGAGAACTGGAATTCAATTGACCTAATGGTTCTGTATGTCCTTCATCCGGCATCACGCAATCGCGAAACAACCCGGGGACTAGCAGGCGTCATCTCCCCAAGGGCAGAAGATTTCAACAGAGACATAGTAATAGTAGCAGTAAAGGTGGTTTTTTTGGCAACTCGTTGGAAGAGGTTCATATTATAGGCAGGGGCAACTTTGTAGGCCGTTCTCCGAGACAAGTGTCAAGTAAACTATTTCAAGATGAAACGAGTAATCAAAGACCAGGTCTCTGAAACACCAGTTTAGCCACTTGCATTGTGCTCTGACCAAATCCGAGCCGGCAGGTGAGCAAAAAATCTCTTGTTCCATATCGATCTGATTCTTCTGTTGATCATTAGATATGCTTCACCACATATCAAGTCATTCACTTTATGGTTATTCCCATTTCACTCTTCAATTTGAATGTTTTAATTTAGCGATTTTACTGCTTTATAACTCTTATGATTGCTGTTGTCATCAGGTTTACTGCTGAATCAAAATCCTAGACGGGAGTCGCATTGAAAAGAGGATTTGGTCTGATGGTTTACACACGCTGATATGGCTTTGGTGCTTGTTTACACACGCTAATGTGTCAAAGGATCTTTTCACTTTTGAACTACCATTTGTTGCCTTTGTGAATTATCCATTTCTATTTTTTATTTGTGTTAAATTGGTTGGACAGTTTGCAGACTCACTACACTAGCTCATATAATGAATCGAAGAGATTTGGGACTAGAATGCATTAATAGTAGGTTTGTTGTGTAATTCTTACGTTGTTAACTCAATGCAAATACAAACGAATTTACTTCCACTGTTGACAAAAGCAATCAAGTCACATCTACTAATACTAATTTGTTCAAAGTACCATAACTAATTTAAATTCATATTTTACATCAAGCACCCCTCAAAAGGATAATAAACGTACAAAAGATATTAGCGTTCACATATCCATTACACTTACAGAACACGAGAGATTACAGAGAGGTGGACCATTAATAACATTAATCCGATCATATTAATACTACCCAATTGCTACTTAGTTATCTAAAGGCAGGAACAACTTAACCAAGAATAGATCAAAATAATTCCCCACGTTGTTCCAAGGACCGATTGTGACCATGACTTCATATGACTTGTCACCAATCAAGTTGAGAAGTGTAACATAGTCGGCATTGTCAATCTCAGAAGGACTGACTACAGAAGAAATGATTCTCCGTAAGTATGATGATGGGAACACGACCTCAACATCAGTAATGTCATCTTCAATGGTCAAGTGAATCAAGTATACTGTGGATGCATCACACCAAGATCTCCTCAGCTCTGTTACAACGCCAGAGAAAATGTACGAAGTGCCCTGATATAATGCAAAAGATGATGATTTGAAAAAAAAAACAAATTAGCTGCAAATCAATCACATAAGAGATAGAGAAGGACAGATAACAAACGTCTTTTCTTACTCACCTGATCATCACCATCCAATTGCTTTGGGATTAGATCTAAAGCTTCAACGGGCTCCGACATTGCCACGGCATTTTGATAATTTAGATTCATAACAAAATCATCTCCCAGGGTAAAAAACCTATAATTTAGATTATTAGCAATTGTATTGAGTAGTTATGAGAACACAAGAATATGGTTTATTATGAGTTGGTTGGGAAACCATTACTTACGGGTTCCATTCAGGTATGTTGTCCATCTTCAAATATATGTCACACTGATTTCCTTCTGCTCAATCTCTATTTTTGGCAGTATCTGCCATTTTTAGAATCATAAAAACAAACTATGTTAGTTGTGGTTTGGGACCACAGTGCATATTACTTTTGCATTGTTGAATTAATAACCAATTCGTATTTCAGTTGAATTAAACCAAACGGCACACTTGATCATCACATGTCGCTGCTATCGCTGAATTAAAAAAGATCAGGGTTCTGGCATTGATAGCGATTGATCGAATTCCTGCTAGCCTTATCGACGTCTGGTCTTAGAAAGTAGAGAAGTCAGCAGCAAGGAAGAAAAAAGCCGCTTTTCCCCGTGCATATTACTTTTGCATTGTTGAATTAATAACCAATTCGTATTTCAGTTGAATTAAACCAAAGAGACTCTTAACGACTATATCAAAACAGGATAGAGTTCCGACACTAATCAAATAATCATGTACAAATGAAGAGAAGACACATCTTAGGCATCAGAAACAAAGACATGCAAGGCAAAATCAAAATAAAAGAATGTTCGGAAGTAGAAATACTAGCTGAACAGCGTATGAAAGAAAGAAGGCCTCAGTCCTTCACATTCAACTCATAGTCAGGGTTGCTGGTATTCTTCTCATTTCTAAACAAATTATAGCCAATGAAAAGAGCAAGCTGAAGCCATTTAGCAGCTCATAATCTTCAATATCTGATACCTATTCAATATCATATTCACTTTAGAACCCCCAAAATCTCCTCACTTCAGCACCATTGCTACCACAAAAAATAAACTAAAAACAGGGCTTGACACTGGGGTGAAGCTCAAGAGAAAGCATTCGAGCTTCCGAAATATTAACCAACTCATGCTCAGGTGTTAATCTTGCCTGACTTTTCTAATGTGGCCTTGTGTGATTGTATCCAGCATGTGGACACTTTGTAACCGAAAAAGAAAGCACTAGTCTTTTTAGCTCGATAAACCGACCAAAACATAGCTTACTGCAGGGCGCCACCATCAAGGAATGCAGACACAGTAGTAAACTAGAGGGGAAAGCGAGAAACCTGGTGAAGTTCAGCAGGATAAACTAATCCCGCCAGTGCTTCTTCTCAACTGCTATTTTCCTTTGCTAACGGAAGCCGAAATCAATTCCTCTGTTCCATAAACACGTCGTCTACAAGTTAGCTCGGAACTTCAATAAAGCAAACACGAAGCTCGAAGAAGAGAATAGTGTGCAAACTTCTAATGGCTGCGAGGAATCGCAAAGCGTTTCAAACACCAGGCCGTTGCCCAATCGACTAAGAATGAAAATGAGAGCAGAAGGAGGCGTACCCAAAGGAGGGGAGGACGCGATTATCGCCAACCTGTTGATGAGAGGAAAGAAAATATAAATGTGAGATGCTGGCAAAATCTTGAGAATCAACTCTTGGGGATGAGAATAATGTGGGTCAGGCAGATAGGAGGACAGCCAAACCCGACCATGCAATGAACCAGTCCGATTGATGTCTTCGCCGGGAACGGAACAGAGGCGCCGAAGGGAAGAGGAAGAGGGAGCGGAAACGTTTTCGTGATCCTTTTTGGTTTTGGTTTTTTTTTTTATGCAAACGTTTTGGCCGGCCAAACCCAACTAATGGGCCTCTATCAACAGCCCAAACTTACAACTAGCCGGCCAACGGGAGAACGCGGCTGCTGCACTGTTGAGCCTATTCGGTGGTAGTAATGTTGGTTGTTTCTGATCTCAAGCCCTCAACTGCAAAAAGAGTTCTTCAATTCGTCTACTCGTCGAGCCCTAATTAGACAGAACTCTTGGCCGACTTCGATGGAAGGGGTTAATTGTATTTTTTATGTTTTTTTTTGTTGACCAAACGGCACACCTGATCATCACATGTCGCTGCCGTCGCTGAATTAAAAAAGATCAGGGTTCTGGCATTGATAGCGATTGCTCGAATTCCTGCTAGCCTTATCGACGTCTGGTCTTAGAAAGTAGAGAAGTCAGCAGCAAGGAAGAAAAAAGCCGCTTTTCCCCGTCCGAGAATCTCCATCTGCTCTAAGTGGGCGAGCTAGAATCCTTATGTCAGGTTGGTTGTTCAAAAAACTTTCTCTTTAGCCTTTGCATCTTCATCTTTTCGAAAGCCCAGACCTGGATTTTCATTAGTCCTATTTCGCCTCTTCACTTCAATAAAGACCTCTTTCTTTTCTCAAATTTTTTTTGAAAGAGGATAAGCGCTATCCATTCCATTGAGTAAAGGATGCAATTGTTGATAAAAGGTAGATATACAAAATAATGTTGGTTTTAAATATCTGCATAGACGTGAGATTAGACAATATCAAGAGATAAGATCAAACACTTAAGGATGGGCGATTCATATTTGAATAATAAGGATTCTGAAGATTACATATGGAAAAATGTGGGAGCAGGCAGGGTAATTGCTGGGATTATTTCTAACATTTAAACAACCATAATATCATAAAAATCAAATTAGGATCAGTGCGGTAATTGAAGAACCTGTTGGTGATGACACAAAATATAGGAAGACATAAACGTTCATGAAAAGTTGAAATATTTGTTCTTCTAAATAAAAATCTAACTAATACATTTTTATAAGCATAATATGGGAACACATGGCACACTAACGTAGTTCATGTCCAAAACCAAATTGCTCCACAGGTGGCAATTGGTTTTACCGCTACTCAAAAGTCGGAATGCAAAAAATAAAAATAGAATTCCTGCTGTTAGGTCTGTGTTCCCTTCATTCTTCCTTACTAAACCAGCTGATCGAATCATGTGTCCTACCACCTGAAATAATAACAGGAAAGGAAGGTAACCATTACTAAATATAAAAGATTAGCAGTGCTAAGAAACTGAAACGCTATTATGCAGTTGAGATATAATCGAAAAAGTAAGGCCATGCACCTTTTTCCATTGGAAAATGAGATCATTGTTTATAACTCCAACTTGAGATCCATCAATGGTTGAAATGCTTTTGGATGCCAAATTGCATACATGCGAATTTGTGGTTCATCTGAAAATTCTGATCCAATGATGTATACCTCTGCCATGAATTTGATGTCACACAATTCTTTGAGCAACTGAATTCTTTGATCATATGACATTGTCTGGAACTCCAGTGGTGGCATACGAATCAGAGCAAGGGCAGGTGCATGATTTAGAATGATTTTTGCTTTCTGATTCCCTGATTCACACTCAGCTTGCAGCTCATAATACAATCTGAAGAATAGGTAGATTAGCTGGATGTAAACAGTTTATTGTTAGATTAATAATAGGAAATAGAAAAGCCACCATGGTGGTTTGGAAATACTCAGTGTCCGCAGGCGAAGTTCTACAGGTTTCAGAACCAAGATCAAACTTCACTATCTTCAATTTGCATCGAAACAGTATCTGTGACATCGTTTGATTTAACAAATAGAAAAAATGTGGAAATCAGGGTGTATGTTATAACAATAGCACTATTAGAAGACAATTAGGAATCTATTTGTAGGTGATTAATAATATCTGTTTGAAACAGTAAAGTAGTGTGCAATGGATAATCACATGTACCTCGGTTTCTTGTTCTCCTAAAGCCACCTTGTTCTTTAATTCTAACAATGAGATTCTTGGAGGAATTTCTCGACAAAGATATCCAAGACGCTCTTTTGAGCTGTAGTCAATGATATCCACGGGTAGTCTATCACGAAAGAACCTGCACAGTTTTGTTAGTTAGATTCGGAATTGGGAGAGCAATAAAAAAACAGAAGGTTCATAAAAAACATATAAGTGCAGCGATGTACCTATTCATCAGTTCTTTGGTCATGTCATTGTACGGATGGACAATGAGACGAGTTCCAGGAGACGTTAAAAATCAGAATGGCGGAATATGTGAAAAGTCATGCACATTTCGGCTAACTGCTGTTGCTGTCACAACCAGAGGATAATGAACTTCTTTGTAATCGGCACTGTGAATGAACTCCTTAATTCCTTTCCCAATATAGCTCACAAGTCCTTTGTTGCCACTAAAAATGTTGGGAAATGGATTATAAATGGTAATAAAGATGAAACTCGATCTAGAATGATATAACAACAACTAAATATAAGTCATACCTAATGTCTTCGATATGAATCTGGAACATGGATGTATCGGAATTCACTTTTATTGGTTCCGTGATATGTGTCACACATCCTATGATATCTGAAATAAGAATATGTTTTAGATCTTTGGTTCTACATGTTCTATATTTTGTGTACTGATATCATGGGGTGAGGTATAAAAATGTGCACCTGAGTAGCAGATTGGAACACTTGCAGATGAAACACTGTCAGTGAAAGGAACCTGAAGAAAAGAATCATCTGGAAAATGCATTGTGCTGCGATATTCTTGCATACTTTTGAACGAAGCTCCTGCTGCGAAATATAATCTCAAATTCGAAGGTGCAGTGCGACGTTCTGATTTAGCTGGTATGACAGTTGGGTTCATCATGGTATAGAGACAACCAATCTTCATGTTTTTGCAAATATGACCAGCATCTTCATAACGTACATTTGCTTCCATAAGTTGTCCCTAAAGAAGTTAAAATTGAACACTTGTTTGAATCAACTGTTCTCTGTTTATAGCATAAGAAGTGGATGTAAAGTGTTCATAAACAAACCTCTTTATCTAACCAAAGCATATGCATTGATGAAACAGATGCAGCTCCATTTGATTCACATTCTGACCATATGTTTAGCAGTCGAGCCATGAGGAAATGGTTGTTTGTTCCAACACCAAGTTCACGAAAGGTTGTGGATTGACGCATCACATCTAACAGGAAAAGGAAAATGAGGCGATCTATCTTAAACCATACGAAAAAGTTACTTTTCAATTAAATATATGGTACCGTGTGGGTCTTCTGGTAACCTTGGTCCTGGTGTTGTTGTCCAAGCCATCGAATCGGCCTCTGATAGTTTTGGGTACAGGAACAATTCCTGTCTTAAATCGTGAAATGAGACAGAGCTAGCAAGGTAAGAGGAAAATATAGTAGAAACCGGAAACTGGAAACTGAATGTGCAGTACTTACCGGCAGACAGCTTCTGTATGGGGCCGGATGACAGAGACGGGGGGCGGCAGTGGTCCGATGTTCCCAAACTTTTCTAGGGTTTTCTGTTCGGATAAAACCCGCAGGAGAATGGTGGAACAACTTGTTTTTTTTTTTTACCCGATAGAGAGAAACATTTTGTATAGAGGAAAGGGGTTTGAAATGATCCAATTTGCTACTGATCAAGGTATAAGAGCGGCGGGCAAAGAAGTAATGGGCTCTCCATTTTGGGCTTTTGCTTTCCTGTAAAGTGTTCTTGGGCTTTTGACTTTCTGGAACCATGGTTAATTGGTGAAAATGGGCCGATATATCCGTTAGGGCTGCGCAGTGCTAACCCTTGGATTAGTATGAATAATTCAACCCAATAGTACAAAAGGATAGAGGTTTCTAGATGGACACAACACTAAGTATCATGTGTTCTATGTATGATATTCTTGAGCGAGCAAGTGCCTCACGAATAATTAACAATGTAGTATGAAATGTTTGTAGTTTGACTAACGCATTTTTACATCTTCGGAGCGTGAGCAATGGAAAGTTTGGTTCCTACTTGATTACCGTGTCACTTATACCTGTCTTACCGGCGTCCGACTCGATAAAAACTCGTTTGAAACTCGATTCGTCTTAATCGAGTCGGCTCGCGAACAAGCTCGTTAACTAAATGAGCCGAACTCGAGCCATACAATGTTCGGCTCTAAAGCTCGCGAACAAGCTCATTTAACGTTTTGCCATAAGAAAGAATTAGAATTCATGGATTTTATGCATTGAAATTGAAATAAATATTGTGTTTTATTTTGGTAGACTTAGATATAGGTTTGAATGTAATTTTGTGCCCTATACCCTGAACCCTGCACCCTAAACCCTGAACCCTGCACCCTATACCCTGAACCCTTAACCCTAAACCCTATACCCTGAACCCTAAACCCTGAACCTTAAACCCTAGACCCTGAACCCTAAACCCTAAACCCTGAACCCTAAACCCTATACCCTATACCCTGAACCCTAGACCCTAAACCCTATACCCTGAACCCTAAACCCTAAACCCTGAACCCAAAACCCTATACCCTATACACTGAACCCTATACCCTAAACCCTATACCCTGAACCCTAAACCCTAAACCCTAAACCCTATACCCTAAACCCTGAACCCTAAACCCTGCACCCTATACCCTGAACCCTAAACCCTAAACCCTCCGTTCTTGAACGGGTTTAATCACGAATCCTAAGTAGATCTTAATCTAATGAACTTATACGAAAAAAGAACCTCGTTTATATGAGCGGTAACTTTAAACAATTTTATAGATACTTAAATTGAGGACATAGGTTTAGAATTTGAAAACAAATAAAGAAACAATGAATATAAATTTTCATTCCCCCAAACTATCCCGCAATTTTTTTGTTTTGGATTTTCCCAAACTTTGAACCAAATAAAAAGATTTTCCCACCAAATCATGAATTTATTAATTTATGCAGCTTTGAAATAGGAAAGGCTAATTAAAACACAAAGAAAAAAAAAGGAAAGGCTTGACCGGATGGAACACGATGTCGTACAGGACAATAGAATGAGGGTAACTTTACCTTCCTCATTCGCATCCTTCATTCTTCCTCAGATCCACCCATTTCCTCAGAACCGCGACGGAACCCTGTTTTTATCCGCCAAAACAAAATTTCATTTCTTTGCAACCCTTCCCATCCCACTGAAACAGAATAGCATAGTTTCATTCTCTCTTTCCATTAATCGTTTGATGTTTCTGGGAAATCTGGTCGATTTGGGGTCTTCGAAGCTGGCCCACTTTGCCGGCGGCCGAAGGTGTGGCCTTGTCGATGAGCACGCGGAGCTTCAGATATACTATTTCTGGGATATATGGCGCATGCATATCGCATAATGAATCACTCGAAGAAGGTAGGCTTCCGAATCTCTGCACTTCCCTCGCCCTGATTCGGCTTTGATTCACTGAAACGGCGATTGGTTCAGGTTCATGCTATGGTAGCGAGCAACGAAACTTTCTTTGAAGCTGGGATCGGAGATGAGGGAGCTCCACAGCTTGCAGATGGGTTTGTAGAGGAAGGCGGATCTGGGATTGGGGAGGGCAATCAGAATCTCGACGAGGAGGCCGTCTCCGAGTTTGCTGATGGCGGAAGGAGGGTGTAGAGGGTTTCTGAGAACTGGGTTTCTGTTGCCGCCGCCGCTCCTATCGGTGACAACGGCTCCTCCTCCATCTCCACCGCTTCGCCGTTACAGCCAGGTAAAGTTTGGTTCTTGGTCTCTGCTTTCGCTTGTTTTTCTCTGATGGATTCTGAGAACTGGGTTGCTGTTGCAGTTGGGAGCCGGGTTGGAGAAGTGAAGAGGCTCACCAAAGAGACCAATGTTTCTGTGAAAATTAACTTGGATGGTACTGGGGTTGCTGACTCGTCCACGGGAATCCCATTTCTCGATCACATGTTAGATGTTAGTGAACTTCTGGAAATCACTTTGCAGCTCTGCAACTTCCCTTTTCAATTTGGTCGACTACTCGATTTTCTTTTGCCCTGGATTTGATATATGATATTTCCCGCTTTTCGATCGATTGATTGTAGCAACTTGCGTCGCATGGGCTGTTTGATGTACATGTGAGGGCAACTGGTGACATTCATATTGATGACCATCACACCAATGAAGATGTTGCTCTTGCTATTGGATCGGTCAGTACTTCCAGTTACCTTCCCCTTTTCATTTCTCAGTCTTCTGCCTTCATATAGCTCACCACTTGTAACTCGCCTCCATGGATTATTGATTGAGGATTTTGAGAGCTATCAGCAAAGAGAGCTAGGGAATTGGTCAGGCAAAAGAGTGTCTTGAGATCATCTTCTCTTCCAGGGAAGCTTGATGAATGCTCATCTACCAATCCTGAAGAATCTGGTGACTATTCTATTCCAAGTTATTTATTTTGACAGAGTTGCTGAATTTCAAGATAGCTAAATGAAGTAGTCTTGAAATAGACTTCTGCTTGATTCGCCACGAGGTTCAGTGGCACATTTTAAGGACTCTATCCTTTCAATGCCTGCAGAAATTTTCATAGTTGAAGGTGATTCAGCTGGTGGAAGTGCTGAGCAGGGCCGGGATAGGCGCTTTCAGGTAATTGGATCCATTCTTAATTTAATCGATGAGCGTGTGAATGGCGGTGAAGCAATGTTGTGGTCTGCTTTGTTTAATTGGGAATTGGGCATTCTGATTCATGTCCCTTCATGTTCTGAAAAATGACGTGTGCATTACTCATTAGGGTGCTAAATTATCTTTAAATCATGTTTTACAGGCTATTCTAATCCCTTTTTGTGCTTAGCGTTGATTTATTTCAATTTTCTGTCCTTGTACTCATTTTGAAGTTCTTGCAAAAACATGGACTTGAGCAATTTAGTGAATGAGTAGTTTCTAAAATGCTTACTTCTTTGTTTTTCCCCATATACTCAACACCAGTTCAATGGAAGGGAGAGTGAATGGGGTTTCACATCATTTATGCCCCTCAGTGATCTGGTTGTCGAGGTCTCGCAAGAGTCAAACTGGTTCTAAGGAATACAAGACACGTGCTGCAGTTGGTGTAAGTTTATCTCAACCCCTATTACATATCAATCTGGTCCCTATGTTGGATCAGTCTACTTATGTTAGATAAATTATGGTATAAATTTAATAACCAACCATATGCATATCAATCTCAGGCACCTCGAAGAGAAGATGAAGAAGACAACAAAGTTAAAATCAAAGGGGTCTTGCAAAAAATGCACGAGGTATGTCTTTGAATAACTAAGAACTCATTTCCAACTCTCTATGTTCGTCAAACCACAAAAAAAAACCGTCAAAGGCTGCACTTGTTGTAAATCAACCAAGCTAAAAGATTCTGTCCCATCAATTTCAATGAAAAAATAACAAAAAACTGAGTGCTTTTCAACTCCTTGCTCTGGATGTTGTTCAACTTCTTGCCCTGTCTGTGTTGTTCAACTTCTTGCCATGTCCCCTCCTCTGAAACATAAAAAACAAGATAAAAGAACATTGAAACTGTCACTTTTTTAGCAAAGGTTCTCGTGTAATATATACATTAGGTTGCATTAGATTATTTTCACTAAAAAAACCTGTTGGGTCCTCTCAGATTGGCGTTCAGAACATTGAGCAGAAGGCTCCACACTAGGTTCTGTATGCTTATTGGATTTCCCTTGCTGCTGATGTGTCATAGTACTACTCCTAGTACGTGGCCCAGTCTGTTACAATAGTAGAAATTAAACTCTTAAGTTGATAGCTACTTGTACCAAATAGAATAAAATTTAGAAAGAAAGTGTTTTATAACCTTATGTAGCTTCGGTATGTTTTCCGTAGGCTCTACATCAGCATCGTGGTTGCTAGTTCGTTGCTTCTGATATAACCATTATAAAAACACTTAGTTTTTAAGAACTATTAATTCTGATAAAAACTCAAATATGTTTTACCAATTACCTTTTGGGGCCGACCACTTTGGTCATCGTCATCATCTCCATCATCACCTCCCTCATCACCTCCATCATTGTCCGCATCCAGATCATCGTCGTCATCCTCTTCATCAGACGAAGATTCTCTAGCTGGCGGCACGTAGCCTTCGGGTTCAGGACAAGTCTTAATATAATGACCGTCCCTTCTACCGCATCTCCCACACTTCCTCTTCTTTTTCTTCTGTTGTTTTTTTGCCTTTCCTTTTCTACATCCCTTGAACATAACTTTTTTGGGGTTGAGGACTCTTTCAAACTCCTTAGGTATTACCATCGATTCCCTTTCAGCCGGAGTTGTTCTCATCATTTCCAACTTGTCCCTCACTGCTGTCAACCCCCCTCGAGCAACCTGGAAAGCTAGAGGAGTCTCTGCCCCCAATAGGAAAATATGTGTTGCCAAGAACTGGAGTGACCCATATCTGGTGTTGAAAGAATGATCATCCCCCAACTTAGGTGGCGGTGGCATACTGTCTATTGACTTTGGGTTCTTTGAGCAACGTTTAAGTACCAGTTTCTCAGGAAGACTTTTCACCCGTTCTTCTTTCAACACACAGAGCATATGAGTGCAGGGAATTCCAACACTGTTAAATTTTTTACAGCTGCACTCCATATCCTTTGTTTCAAGGTTGTATTTTACCTCCACAACCTTCTGTTTGTTGAACATACTTAAACTGTAGGTGTGTATGTTTCCATCCTCAGATTGAGTGTTCTTTATGCACCCAATAACCTGCTCTAGTTCACTTCTGAATTTAAGAAATGCAGCTTTCGAGAACAACTTAACTGCACTTCCCTCAAGGGGTCTAAGCATGGTGCTCTTTAGCGTGGTTAAACCATAATTAGATTTAAAATCTAATTTGATCTCTGTTTCCCTCAAATCCCTACACCAACGATCATACTGAATGAAAAAGTCAAGCAAACAGTGTCTCTCCTCCAAATATCTTCCAACAAATGAATTTATACCTTCATTTCTTGATGTGGTTGTCAGCCCGGCAAAGTAGTGGGAGCGCAAGTATGTGTCCGCCCATTCTCCGCGTCTCCCAAATAAATTTGTAGTCACCCATTGGTTGTTCTGTAGACCACATTTTTCCACTAATTCCTTCCATTTCTCTTCAAATTCTTCTTCCTCATAATCAGCAGTTACAAATGTGCTCCATTGGGGTTCGAAGTCTGGGTTATTCTTCACCTTGCCCTTGATATTCTTTGAAAGATGCCACGCACAAAGCCGGTGTGTTGCATCTAGAAACACAGTAGCAATGGCATTCCTCATTGCTTTATCCCCATCTGTTACAACTGTATGCAAGTCCTTTCCACCCAACATTTCCTTCAATATCTCCAAAGCCCACTTGTAGCTCCCTTCAGTCTCATTAGCTAACAGTGCACTCCCAAATAAGCAACTCGTGAAATGATGGTTGATACCTGAAATAGCAAGTGCTTCTCAACTTGTTTACGGATTAGAAAATTGAATATACGAACCAAAATTAGCACTAAGGTGTGTACCTGTGAAAATAACAAGAGGCATATTGTAAATATTTTTTTTGTATGTCGTGTCAAATGCGAGCAACTCTCCAAAGCACGAGAGGTCAGCTATGCTCATACTGTCTGCCCAGAATAAACTGTGGAGCCTATTTTCCTCGTCAGTAGTGTACCGGAGGATGAAGTGCGTGTCCGTACTTTTCTTCGATTCTAGATAGCCCAGTGCGGCTGCCGCATCACTAGGACATAGCCTTTCATTGCGATCTCGAGTGCTGAAATTCATCCCATCTTTTACTGTGTACCCAACTTTGTCATGTCCTCCAGCATTATGCACAGCAAGCTTTATGATTTGAGAAGGTTTCATACCTGCATTCTTCTTAAATCTAAAGTCTGCCTTGTCAGCCTCTGTTAACCCTCGTTGTGATCTCAGGTGATGAGTACACTGCCGATTAATTGGCATATGATTGTGATCTTCTTTAAATATATCCACTATCCATTTTGAATCATTCTTGTTAAATGCCACACGCATTTTTGCTTGACAACCAAATCTGGTCTCCATGGGGGAGTCTCTCTTCTTCTCCCCTTTGTTGGGGGCTCTATGTCCCTCACAAGAACAAACGAAAGCTCCATTAGTAACCTCTCCCTTGCTGTTCCGAACTTTCTTTGAGCGCCTAACAGAGAATCCCCAAGCCCTTGCATAATCATTGTAGAAGTTGTAAGCTTCTTCGAAGTCATTAAATATCTGGCCGATTTTAGGAGGATCTAAAATCACATCTTCCATCCCAGTCGTTTCTCCATTCAGAATGCCAATGACGGTTTCTCCTGTTTCCTCTAAAATCTCAAGGTCATCTTCGATGGGACTGTTACGAGGATGTTCTTCTTCTTCCATCGATAACCTTCTTTGGTTTAGGGTCTCGGCAGGGTGGGATACTGACTGTAGGTGGTTGTAGAGGGTTGGAGGCGGCTGAACGTGTATGTACGTACAAGAATGATGCCCAACCTGCTGCAGGAAACCTATTTTTACCCCTCTGTTGTTTTGTCTATGTTAACAATCATTATTTTAGTATTTTTGGTAGCGTAACCTTCCACTTCAATTAATTATCCAATGCTGCCATGTGCAAATTGATTCATTTATTTTTTTTATTTATTTGTCTCTCTCCTTACCGATCTGCTTCCTCTCAAAACCGGAAAATCTTCATTCTTCTGTGTTCTGTACAGAGGAAAAAACGTGTAAATTGAATTCGATTAATAAACAAATAGATGATGATAAAAGAATTTTCTAAGTTTAATTAATGATAAAAGATTTTCCTGTATAGCTTTAATAGAATTTTCTAAGTTGACTTAATAAGGTAGATAAATATTACACTTACCATAAAGAGAAAAACACTCTACATCCCCCTTTATTAAGACGTGTGAAACCCCTTTTTCAGGAATACCCAGCTCTGTTCTGTACCGTTCTGTGAAGCTGGAACAGAAGAGGACCATCACAAAGCCAGGGTAAGTAAATTATATTACAGCAGCAAGGAAGAAAGCCACCATCGTAATGTCTCTTTTCTTCTAAATTCCTCTTTTGTTATGATTTCTTTTTTATCTCAGGGACAAGAACAAGATGAAGCATGTTGTGGACAGCGGGATAATGACAAGATCAAAGGCGCGGTCGTCCGATTTAATGGTATGTCAGTTTATAAATTTTCATATCTCCATCGTTGGCAGCTTATTTTTCGTTAAAAACTAAAGAACGACGATTGTTGTTGTACTATGAACGTAGGAGCTGGAGAAGGATGTATCTCCGGTAAAGAAAGCTAGAACTGAAGTCGGTGTGATCCCTCCATCGACGCCGGGATCCGATAAGGTATTTCTACCCTTCTCTCGTATTTTCTGCTTCGGTTCTCTTTTCCGGCACTTGTTTCTTTGTGTTTTGCTTCCCAATCGATAGTGCCGAAGTTATCTGTGTAAAAGTGTCGAGCGCGAGACAAATAGGCCTTCTTTCTCTTATTTGGATTCAACACCTGCACCAAGCTTCTTCGTCTCTTTCGGCAAGAACAGCAGAACCAATTTTTTTACCTAGAGTTTTTGTTTGATTGGAATGACCAGGAAGGATTTCTTCTTTTGGTGTTTGAGCAGCCGATAGCTTAGCCTTGGAAGAATTGGGCCAAGACCCAAAGCTTATTTTATTTAGCTTTCTCACCAGCCCACTCAAAAGCTTTTCCTTGGCCAGTTCACAAATCAGACACCAAGCTTTTCCCAAAACTCACCGTTTCACAAACCCAAACTGATCCTTCCCTTCTCTTCGACTGAAATCAAAACCCCCTGTTCTTTGCTTTCAACCCAGACACATGAACAGAGTGCAGAAAATAAAAGCACAACACCAAATTTTTACTTCTGACGATTCACTAGAAATTGTTCGTTAAGCTCCCTTCGAAACACAATCAGAGTTACCCGATCAGCCTACTGCTTGATCGTCAAACCTTTCTCTGCCTACTAGCTACCCAGCCAATAGAACCCCTGATATACCACCGATACCAGTACCCAGAAATCACTACTAATCTCTGTGCTGACTTTTTCCACTCAAACCCTTGCTAAAGCTCTAGCTCTCTTGTTTGAAATCGCTAGAAAAGTCTACTTCTTACTCTTTGATCAAGGTGTTATATATATTGCTCCACTGTGAGTAGCCGTTAGACAGGACCGTTGCACTTTCCTTCTCTGTTTCATTTGATTGCGTCACCTTCCTTCTTTGCCATCAATAAGACGATTCTGCTGATCTGATTCCAGCTGGGGTTGGTGGTGGATATTGCGACGCTGACCTCAACAATCTGTTAGTTGAATTTTTATATATTTTTTTACGGGTCTGTTGGTTGAATTTGATTCACCATGTTTTGTGCTATAGTTGCTTGAGAGAGATTCAGGGCCTCCTATTAGTGTGTTTCTTCACTACTGAAGTGATTTAAATGGCAGTATGTCTCAGTAGCCAACCTTGAACAAGTTGCGCTCTTTATGTGACGATTACGAATGACGATTACATTAAAATTAGGGCGATAATTAGCAATCCCCTCTAATCCACCCCACTAATATTTTTCTGCCTTAAAACGGAATCAGTGGTTATATTTTTATCGAACCCGCTAATATTCTTTCATCTTCCATTGCAGGCAGAAACTAAGTTTAGGCTGCCTCACGCTGTCAACTACAGTGAGGAGGAAATCAAACTTGCTCACTACATATTTGCAGCTGACCTTCCGCTAAAAGAGGTCCTAGTCGATACCATGATGAAATCCTATACGCGAAAGGCGCTATGGTCCCTCTGCCCTAACTCCAATGTTGACGCTGATGTAAGTTTTAATCCTGGCCTACTGTTACTAATCAGGATGTTGAAGGGTGTTTTATATCTTGTTGTTTGCACGTCATTTGTTAATGAGTAGATCACGATTCGTGGGAAAATTGATAAGGATCAAGGCATAGCCTGGACCATGTCCTTTCTATACAGAATTTGAGTCTGGTGCCAGTTTATTTGACATGCCTTTTGCTTTGTTGTTTTTTTGTTCTCCTGTGTCTTTTTGCCCTTTTCCCTTTGTTTCTTTGAGGAGTGCACTGCTGCTGCAGCTTTGCTTCTAGTTTCCTCAATGATTTTGTATCTAGTGTAGGATGGTGTTTGCGCCTTTCAATTATATCAAAACAATCAAAATATTGGTCTTCTAATATGATTTATTTGCTTATCATTTTCAATAGAGATTGCAACCTTACCTCTCTCCTTACCGTTCAACTCGCATAATACCAATCTCCTAAAATTTGTATACCCTGGTTGGTTGGTGTGTTAGGTAATTACAGCAATGACTTGCCACTTGACCCTGGACGAAATTACGAGAGATGCTGGCCGTGGGAGAAGAGTATGTTTTCTGCCTACTGAACTGCAGGTACATATTGATTTACCTTGTACATGTATTTTAGGTGAAATATACTGTTTGTCCTATGGTATATAATAAACGTGTAATTCTGCTAATTTAATCAAATCATGATTAGGAAATGGTACTTAACTATGGCATGACACCGAAAAAAGCTTTAGAGTGTTACGGTACAAAGTTTCTCACAACAGCTCACACCTGCAGAAAGGTTTTCTTCTCAATACTTTCTTCTGCATTTCACTTTTGGCTTCCTCATTAATTGTTTCTAGCTATTGTATGAACATATATGTGAATAATTTTTCTTTCCAATCAAGCTATTTAACTTTTTCATATATGAAATGTCAAATATGGTTTACTGATGTTAGTATTTCTTGTCGTAATGTAGTTGTGTCTGCCAATGAAGGATATCATGCATGGTGATGACATTCATTGGTATTTAGTAGTCATCTTGATGGATGACAAGCAAGTTCATATCTTGGATTCATATCCTTCTAAAGAGCGCCAAACACCTCGTAAAGATGCAGTACAAACTATGGTATGGTTAGAATTTGTGCGTGGAATACGATTATATCTGTGAAATGGATTTTTGTTCTCTTCTATTTGTAATAAAGTTACTCCTTATGTAGATTGGATTTCTCGATGCCTTGTTCGAGGATCTTTATTTACAAGTGGAACAAATGTGCGATCCCCCAAGTGATGAAGGAGTTCTCTTTGACAATTCCTTCAGTTCCTGAACAACGTCACGAGTAAGAATCATTCCTTATGCATAAATTCGAAAACATACTCACAACTGATCATATGCTTCATCGAAATTTATGTAGGTATGACAGTGGCGTTTGGGTGTGCATATGGATGATGGGTGCAACTTGGGATGAAGATTATTTTATATGGGTAAGCAACAATTCGCTTGCTTGAACTTGTAGTTAAACAACCTACTGAATTTGCTATTGAGATCCATTGTCTTTGTGAAAAATTTTCAGCCATGTGGAGATATGAGGAGAATGCAACTAGCTTTGTATTTGGTCAAACAACCTGCAAATTACATAAGACATGTGGTCATCAAGGAAGCAAATAGGAATGCACCAAGGTTTGAACTCGAGACTCGTACGTACAAGGAAGAAAATCGAAAGAGGCTGAACAAGAACTAGAGCTATATGGAGATAGTGCTTCCGTGATTTCGTAATTTAAGCTTGCTTTTTTTATTCAAGGACTTGTTCGTTATATGTTTCACTACATTTCATCAGATTAACGGTTGCATTTCTGTTGGGTATTTTGGATGAACAAATTTCAGTTTACATTATCATGAGATTCGGTTCTTTTCGTTCTATTGAACTTGGTTGATTGTTGAACTAGTTAAGTTTATGGTTTGAGAATCTTTGGTCTATATGTTTAGATACACAACATTGACATTTTTTGGTGTTTGAGCAGCCGATAGCTTAGCCTTGGAAGAATTGGGCCGAGACCCAAAGCTTATTTTATTTACCTTTCTCACCAGCCCACTCAAAATATTTTCCTTGGCCAGTTCACAAATCAGACACCAAGCTTTTCCCAAAACTCACCGTTTCACAAACCCAAACTGATCCTTCCCTTCTCTTCGACTGAAATCAAAACCCCCTGTTCTTTGCTTTCAACCCAGACACATTAACAGAGTGCAACAGGATATCAGCAAAGCCAATCAAGTGCAGAAAATAAAAGCACAACACCAAATTTTTACTTAGGAACCAAATACAAATAGTCTTAAGAAAACGAAAACGACAACATTATTTTGTGTCCACTTCAGTAAGCCAGCATCCATCAAGTAGCAGTTGCATCGTGCTGCCACCTAGTGAAAACAACAACAGCAGCAACGAAAACAACAACAAAGTAATGGATCAGGAACCTCGTCGAAGTCAAATCTCATTGATTAGATAGTAATCAAAAGGGTCCCCACAAACAAAGCCTCACTTGAACTTGACAAAGATTAGCTAGCTGATATATTGAGAATGGATAGGACAGATCATGGGAAAACAAATTGAACGAATAATAGTCTTAGAACAAAGCAACAACAGGTGTAGATTGCAGGCTTTGGCTTACTTATGAAATGGTTACAAGACATGGACAAGCCAGCCACATACATGAAATTGAAGTTCTAAACAATCTTTAAGACTCGGTCCAAAACACTATGCAATACCCGAAATTGTTCACCAATCCAACTAAGCTAACCCGAAATCATGGCTACTTACAGGATCATCATTCAATCAGACCGTTTGCTCACAGTTCCGGCAGCTCGAGGTCGTACTTCACGGATGGAGCTCAGTGTTTCCCACCGGCTGTAGCGTTTTCCTGGATGGAGCTCAGTGTTTCGCTTATCTTCCTGAAGCAGGAGATCATAGAGGCCATGCTGTCCTCGAGAAACTGGCCGTCATCCGCAATCACAACACAAAATCAGGCATCCAAACACAAGGAAAAGCTGTCGGGCGTAAGAACCCTACCACTCTCCCCCTCCTCCTCTGCCTCCAGCTTCGGCATCTCTTCAATCCTTCTCCTCACACTGTCGGTCAATATGGGAAGCCGGTCATCTGAAATCAAAGGCAAATGGCAAAATCAGGTCCCAAATACAAGGAGATTCGGGGTTTGGGATTTAGTAGGGACTCTTACCGGTCTTCTCGAGATGGAATTCGAGGGAGGGCATCGGTAGTTCTACCTCCAGCTCCGGCGGCATCTCTTCGATCATATCCCTTATATAGTCGGTCAATACGCGCGCCCCACAAGTCGGAAATCCTCTGCCTTACCTCCATCAGATTTCCTGGGCATGTGAGGAGAAGATCGATCCCCATTGTAGCGACGGATTGGCAGGAGGAATAAGGGTTGTGGTGGGAGGGAGGAACGGGAGAAGCTGGATTAGTGAGGTAGATAGAGCACATGTAAACGGGAGAGAGGAGAGGGTTTGAGAATCTCGATGAAGGGAAAAATTGAACGGGGATGTTTAAGTTAAAGCATCCAATTTGGGATGTTTAAATGATCAATAGAAGAAAATAGGTATCAGAATATGAAAGTAAATGAATAATTAGTTGGGGGACTAAAGAGGACGAATGAAAATGTAAGGGAACCAATCAATTATCTTTAATTTGTATTTTGTAAATAATTTTATCATAATTTATAATGACCGTCAGATTAGATCAACGGTGTGTAAAACCTGGAGCATACTATGTGTCTGGAGCACACGAGTCTGAACCATATATATATATATATATATATATATGAAACTCCCCGAAGGATTCACTTTGCCAGAAGCAAACAAAACACATTCCCGAGAAAAATTTTCTATCAAATTGAACAAATCCTTGTATGGATTGAAACAATCTGGACGAATGTGGTACAATCGTCTCAGTGAATATTTGATGAAAGAAGGATACAAGAATAACCCTATTTGTCTGTGTTTTTCTAAAGAGATCGGGTAGTGAGTTTGTTATAATATCAGTTTATGTTGATGACATAAACATCATTGGAACTCCCGAAGAGCTTCCAAAAGCAGTTGATTGCTTGATGAAAGAGTTTGAAATGAAAGATTGAGGAAGAACAAAGTTTTGTCTTGGATTACAGATTGAACAATTGATGGATGGTATTTTTGTGCATCAAGAATGATATGTTGAAAAGGTGCTTAAGCGATTTTATATGGACAATTCACACCCATTGAGTAATCCAATGGTTGTTAGATCACTTGATATGAACATAGATCCATTTAGACCTCGAGAAATTGATGAAGATATGCTTGGCCCTAAAGTGCCATATCTTAGTGCGATAGGAGCATTAATGTATCTAGCTAGTCACACACAACCCGATATATCGTTTGCTGTGAATATATTGTCAAGATATAGCTCTTCTCCCACAAAAAGACATTGGAATGAAGTTAAACATTTACTCCGTTACCTTCGAGGAACGACGGATATGGGCTTGTTCTATTCGAGTGCATCGAAGATGGATTTAGTGGGATATGCAGATGCATGATATCTCTCAGATCCCCACAATGGTAGATCTCAGACAGGATAAGTGTTCACTTGTGGTGGTACAACCATTTCGTGGTGATCCACAAAACAAACTATAACAGCCACATCATCCAATCATGCTGAAATCTTAGCAATTCAAGAGGCAAGTCGTGAATGTGTTTGGTTAAGATCTATAATTTGACACATCAGAGAATCGTGTGGACTATCTCTAGGAAAAATGATCCCGACGATCAAGTATGAAGATAATGCAGCATGCATTGCTCAATTAAAGGAAAGATATATTAAAGGAGATAGAACAAAACATATTCCACCCAAGTTCTTTTTCACTCATGATCTTCAAAAGAGTGGTGAAATAATTTTTCAAAAAGTTCGTTCAAGTGAGAATCTAGCAGATTTATTCACCAAGTCACTCCCGACGACAATCTTTGTAAAGCTTTTCGTGAAATTGGAGTTCGACGACTTAAAGACCTGAGCTGATGTGGTCATGAGGGGGAGCATATACGCGCTACACTCTTTTTCCCTTAACCATGGTTTTCCCACAGGGTTTTCCTAGTAAGGTTTTTAATGAGGCAACATGAGATAGCGTAATAATGCAATCTAGTGGTCATCCAAAGGGGAGTATTATGTAAATATTTATATATGGATGACCAATGGTCTACCACATTAGATGCTCACTTGGGAGTTACATGTAACTCCTAATCCTATATCATTATCTCCAATTCATATGCATTGATGTAAAGATGTAGTGGTTACCAAAGGGTGCCTATAAACAGAGCACACTATTGTATCACAAATGATGTATGAATAAGAAGAACTATTCTCATCTCTTCTCTTGTGTCTTTCCCTCTCTAATCTTCTCTTGTAGTTGTTTATATTTTCCATTAGTTTCATAACAACTATTAAATATACCATTTAGTCATTTTTCAATTATTCGGCTATGATAATTTCACCCAAACCCAAGAAAACTTATTGATAATTAGTAAGGACATGAATGAAGCATATATGAATATGGGTAATGAGTAGGTTGGGATAGAATATGAAAGTACTATAAGCGAATGATTAAACTAGGATAAAGTATGTATGTACAACCTTTACATTCCACCGATCAATAGAGTAAACCAAAGTACACATTAAATTTAGTATGCCACCGACCAACGAACCAGATACAATGCTAGTAATTATTAGTCGTCGAGCACTTCTACTATGCTATATAGTATTGGTGCTTTAATGTACAACTTTAGTTTGTACCACAACAATAAATGTATAAGTTTAGGTTGTACCATAAAGGAATTTGTATCATTATGTTATGGGGTAAATTGCAAGTTTGGTCACTCGAATTACTAAAAAAATTTACATTTGCCACTCAAATTAGTTTATTCCATTCATAGTCCTAAAATTAGTTCAACAATTCAAGTTTGGTCACTCTCCGTTAACTTTCGCTGATGTGGCAGTCAACTCTAATAGTTGACCGTCAAATGTGTGACGTGGCATTAAAAAATTATTAAAAAATAAATTTTAAGCTTTTTATAATTTCCACTTCATTTTCAAAATTAATAAAAAATTAAAATTCTACCGGAGTCCTCCTACGAGAGCTTACCCAGAGCGAGAGCAACTTAGTTATGCTGCTCACAGCATAAAGTGTGAGTATCTACTCACACGGTGGATCTATTGTCCACGTGGGCGAGGGTAAGATGGCGCCGGGTTTGGGTTGAGGAAGGGTTTGCCGGTTTGGGTCGGCTGGTCGAGCCCACGGCTGACCAAGCCCATCGGGCCCACAATTTCAAAAACCAAAAACTGAAACCCACTTTCCCCATTTCAGTTTCTCACGCCACTCTCCCCCCACTTCGACTTCCCCTCTCTCCCCCACTTTCCTCCTCTCACGAAAACGAAGCGGCGGCGACCAAGGAAGCGGCGGCGAGGCACCAGCAAAGCGGCGGCGAGCGAAGCGGCGGCGACTCTCCCCCACTTCGACTTCCCCTCTCTCCCCCACTTTCCTCCTCTCACGAAAACGACAAAGAAGCAAGCGCTGCGGCGGCGACGAAGGAAGCGGCGGCGAGAGACTAGCAAAGCGGCGGCGAGCGAAGCGGCGGCGAGCGAAGCGGCGGCGAGCGAAGCGGGATTTCGGCGGCGACGAAGGCGGGGCTTTCACGGCGGCGAAGATTTGGACTAAGGTAACTGTCTTTATAATTTGTTCATGGGTTTTCCTTTTGTTGATTTGTCTTCATGGATATTCATTTTCGTTTGGATAGATTTGAGTTAGGGTTTCATGGCTACGACTTGATCTGGGTTTTCCTTTTGTGGATTTGTCTCCAT